GACTTTGCTTGTCAGAAGGTAGCCAAAGGGTACCTTTGAAACTGCAACCATCATGAATCATAAAGCCTCTGAATTTTGAACATGTAACGACGGAACAGTCCTACATATGGAAAAGTCTCTTTTTTCAGTGCTGTTGTAATTTTGAATGGTCATTAAACAAATAGTTGTAAATTAAGGACTGCCTGTAACCTGGTCCAATTGCCAAACTTGATAAGTAAGAATCTAGTGCTCTAAGGCAGGGCTGTCAAACTCCCGGCCAGTGGGCTGGATACGGCACGCATTGGCCATGCCCATGCCCGGTTTAGTGAAGGAGGAAAATGTCCCAATATGTCACGTGACACCGCCGTGATGATGCAAGTTTGACACTTCTTTTCTGGTAATATTGTACTGTTCTAAGGGATTTTTTTTTTCCACACCTCCTTCCCCCACTTCGTTTTCTTGTGTTTTGCCTTTTCAACTCTGGTTTTTGTAAACCCTTGGGACGTAATAATAACTTATGCTGGTGCATAAGCACACCAGCATGCCTACCATCCCTGTCCTACTGTCCCCATTTATATGTAATCATTCTATGTGTTCATGGCTATGTTTTGCCTATTTATATCCTTTTATTTGTGCCATGTGTCCATGTCTATGTCTATACTGTTAATTGTTTCCTTGTACTTATTGACAAATAAATAAATAAATAAATAAATAAATAAATAAATAAATAAATAAATAAATAATAACTTGCTATTTCGCTTCTGTAAGAATGTTGAGGCAAGTCCAAGGGCTTGCCATACCTATGTGTGCGTGTGTGTGCAACATGACCAGAGTAGTGGCGGCCGAGGCAGCAGGAACAGCGGTGGATGAAGCAGTGGTGGGTACAGTGTTCCGGCACTCACAGGCGTGTGGCCGATGCACATGGGCTGCGATAGACAACTCCCGCACCTCTCAGCTGATTCCCTGTGGCCACCGAGCCGCCTCCTCTCAGCTGATGCCTCCGGCTCTGACCTGGGTGGCTCTTTGCAAATGGAGCCGTTTCGGAGGACAATGGCGTGGGGCACCATCAGGGTGGCCTCCATGGTGGCTGGGCTGGCAGGATGCTGGAGTGCAGAGCCAGATTTTGGCTACTGGGGGTGTGGCCACTGGGTGATTGGGGGTTGGGGCCCACAGATGAAAACTAGTGCTGGAAGACAGACGCTCCTAGCGCTGACTTTACATGGACTTAAATGAAGCCATCTTCATTCTGGGCTGGGCCTGTTTATAGGAAGTAAAACCAAGTTTTGCTGCAGTTGTGGTTGACTCTTGTTTGCCTTGTTTCTTTCCTGTCAGGCCTACCCTGCCAGGCTGAGAGAAAGTCAGCACTGCTCTTTTTTCACCTTTCCCTTTGGCTTGTTCTTAGAGTTTGGTGGAGTGGCTGGGTTTGGTTACAGTGGAAGGAACCCTGTTGGAGGTACCGGAGGTGGAGGCCGCAGTGGAGGCAGAGGATCCAACATCTGAGGATACTGGGGGAGTGTGCTCAGCCAGCTGTGAGGCCAAAGTGTGGGAGGACTGTGCCAGGGTGCAGCCGGTGGATGCCCAGGTGGGCTCTGGGACTGGACAGGGAGAATGGTGGCATAGTTCGGTAGCCACCGGTACTTCTGGGCCAAGACTTCCAATGCTTCCATGTCCAGGGGCCCCACTGCATGAATGGAAGGAGAGACACCTAACAGGGGACGAAGACAGCAAGTGGAGTTACTCTACCACCCCTGGTAGTAGCACTATGGATGTGTTGCATGAGCGTTTCGGGGAGGCTAGTTTCTGGGATGCTCCATCTTGGCAACCATAGGAGGTGGGCCCAGAGCAGATGGTGTCGTGGCAGGCCTGGAAGCTGGGGACCCAAGCAGAGACTCGCTTCTATCTGGCAAGCCTGAAGTTATGACTAGACCACGCCGCCAGACGCTCCCATGGGCCATCCCAATCTGACCTATGTGCCCAGTGGTCCTGCTCGGCTGACCTCATCTGACCCCCCCGAATGCGCCGCGCATGTTGCAGCCCACAGCAGGGCCTGCTGGGTCTCAGGCAGAGTATTCACTTGAGACTCCAACAGCCAGCCCCTCCTGTGCCAGCTTTGGGGCAATGCCCTGTGGCTCCCAGGAGTTGCTTGGGCCCCAGGCTGGTGGCCTCCATAGGTGGCATGGAGGCCCCAGCCAAGGAAGTCTCCTTCGATGGCAACCCCAATCGGGTGGCTTTATTCCTCAGCCAAGCCATAAGCCACCTGGACCTCTATGCATGGCTGTACCCGTCACAATGGGCAATGGTTGTTGCAATGACGGCAGTCTTGGAGGGCGAGGCAGTGGAGTGGATGGCTGACCTCCCCCATGGCTGGAATTCCCATAACCCGGTGTCCAGCTCATCAGCCGCCCAGAACCACTCTTAGAGTCACGGCAGAAGGCCCCTGTACACACAGGCCTGGTGGATTTCATGGTCCAGCCTCGCTCGGAACTGGTGAACCAGAAGGCACTCTGGCCATTCCCGCAGCTTACCAGCAAGTGGGTAGAACTCAAGGACATACTCCTTTGCTGGCCGGCCTCGTTTCACAGACATTAGCTCCCCCTCCACTTGTTGTGTATGAGAGCCATCCTCAAAGCGGGCCATCAACGCCTCCAGAAAGAGGCCCATGTCTGACTCTTCTTTTCTCGTGAAGCTGCACTATATGGACCAGCCATCAGGAGGGACATCCCACCCAGGGGTTTCTGCTCAGGAGTGTGCCAACTTTCCTTGCCCATTGAAGCATTCCACCCTTCCTATTCCATTGGGCTGATGGGAACTAGTTGAGGTTTCAGATGATCCCGAAAGAAAGATGCCAGGTCCTTGAAATTGGCCCTGTGTGTGGTGGAGACAGTCAAAGTTAAGACAGGGGAGAGCAATCTGACGCCCCCCCCCCACGCGTCTCCATGCAGCCTCCCAGTGGCTCACGTGGGGCCTGCGTGGGGATGAAGGGCCTGCTTGGCAGGCACAGCGGTCCGGGATGGAGACCCATTTCCTGGAAAGGTGATGCGAGAGAGAGATGGGCCAGGCACTCCCAATCAGAGTTCCAGGTCCAAGGGCCACGGTGAAAGCCCGCCGCAGAGGCAGTGGCTCACGCCATCAAAGAAAACACTTCCAGCAAGGGGCTTCGAGAGTTAAAGTCATGGCACCTTTGCAAGAACAGAGTTCCCTTTGTAGAAAGAAACGGGTCTTTCAGTGAGAAGAAAAAATTGACATGTTCCTCTGCATGTGGTGGAGGCAGCCAAAGTTAAGACAGGGGAGAGCAGTCTGACCATGTTCTGTTCACAGTGCACTTTATATGAAAAAAAAAATAAAAAAATAGAATCCTACTGAAGACACACTAACCTGCTCGCACACTTCGACGGACTGTAGGCGGAAAGAGGAGTGCCAAAACACACCATTCCATTTCTTTCCTTCCCTACCCCTCCCCACCTGTCACTCCCCCTCGCCGGCCGAGATCGGCAAGCCAGTTTTGGGTAGCTGAATGTGCTGCCGCCACCCAGGAGGAGAACGTCTGCATGGATGACAGATGCGTGTGAGGCATATTCCCCACTTCTCCCCCCACTTTGCCTCCTTACCTCGTGCTGTTTGCACGGGGAAACAACGAAAAAGCTGCCACGATTGCTGGAAGCAGTGGCCTGAGCAGCACCGGCAAAGCAGCTGGTCGACGCTCCAGGGCCAAGGTTTAGGGATAAGACCCCCTGATAATAAGGCCAAGGCCATATATCGGGGGTCAAAAGAAAATAAGACCCTGTCTTATTTTTGGGGAACCACGGTAGATGTATAGATTTGGAGGAATCCCCATATTGATTTATTGATTAATTATGTGCCATCAATTTATCATTTTTTTCTGATTGGTCATATGACCTCTATTTTTCTAAAGAATCCAAGCAATTAAATTCAAAGCCCACTATGGACTATGGAATTAGAAATATATTGTAGGACCTCTCTTGAATCACGTCAGATTTTAATCAAAATTGTTCTGTATTTCCTATATTAAAGTTTGCAAAGCATATTTGGAGGGTATTGGAACAGATGTATAATTTTGACCCTTATCAATATGCTAAATTTACTTTCGAATAATCCCAATCTGAAAATTGAAGGGGGAGTTTGGAGGGAATTCATAGGATATTAATCCAGCAGCCTTTCTCAACTGGGATTCCTCAGACTCAGAGATTCTACAAGTGACAGAAAAAAAATACTGTAAATCTGATTTTTTTAAAAAAAAACTTTGCACATTGCACTATGCTATTGCTCACTCCGATGGACATTTTTAAGTGCTGTAACTTAGCTGCTAGCCTGTTGCTATGCTCTTGTAAAACATGTTTTATCTAGGTTAGAACTTAGCTGCATTGCAATGTTTTTATATTTTTGTGATCTTTATGCAGACTTGAAATTTATTATAAGGGTTCTTCCAGGATAAAAAGGTTGAGAAAGGTTCCTATAAGATCAGTGTTTCACAATCTTGGCAACTTTAAAATGTGTGGACTTTTAACTCCCAAAATTCCTCGCCAGCTTGCTCAATCAATTTTTTAAAACTATTTAGATTATTGCAAGAGGATATTTGGATATGTAATGACAAGACTGATATGTTCCTTTCATGTGTGTTTCTCATGAGTGTAAATCCAAAAGAGTTGATTTTCTTGTTCCTTGTTTTATGTATAATTGTAGGCGAGAAGGTTAGCGTATAAAAGCATTCTCCAATGCATCACCTTGACATGTGAATCAAAGTGTTTTGAGCACTTTCCTAACATCATTAAATCTTCTTCCAAGCATTGCCATTAACAATCTACAAGCGAACAAGGTGAATGTCTTCTGTAAGTATCTTTTTGCCTAAAACTCACTAACTGAATTATGGCTTGAATGCAGGGGTGGGTTCTATTTTTTTTTACTATTGGTTCTGTGGGCGTGGCTTATTTTGTGGGTGTGGCTTGATGGTCATGTGACAATTATTTAGGATTTAGCAGAGGTACTGGTCTACCAGGCTTTTAACTGCTTGCAGAGCGGTACCGATCTACCCATTTATTTTTTGTAGGCACTGATCTACTCATGTATTTTTGCAGGCACCGGTCTACTCATTTGTTTTCTTTTAACTCTGATCAGCTGTAGGACGGCCCTTTGAAGCCCAGTGGCAAGACTTTAAACAGTTTTTTTCCCTCTAGCCATCAGCTGGGACTCAGGAGGCAGCAATAGATTGGGGGTGGGGCCAAATAAAAGGTAAGAATAACGCGGGAGGGGTGGGGGCGCAGGAGGTGGGGGGGGCACGGGGGGGCGGGGTGGCAATTCTGGGACTTGAAGTCCACACATCTTAAAGTTGCTAAGATTGAGAAACACTGATTTATAGCCTTTTATAGATTAGCTGTCTCCATTTTTTTCTGATGCATTACATTTTTGCTTTTTGCCATTCTTAGCATAACTGGTTTTTCTCAGGAATTTTATTGCGCAACATTCCCAAAAGAGGGTACCCTTACCTTCATAATCCTAGGTTTCAGTGACTCTTCTGACTTGACATGATCAAAACAAGATTGGAGCAGTAAAAATGTTGATTTGGGGTAATTTTACATTGTTATTTATTTCAGTTATATCTTAACCATAATTTACAAGATAGGGCTTAGTACACACAGTTCCAGAATAGGATTCTGGAATAAATTAGAAAGTTAGAACACAGATAATATCTAACAACACTGTATTGGGAACTCTGGAGAAGATCTACTAATAATTCAGTGTAAAACTGTCCATTCGCTGAGCAAGGGGATCAGTAATCAAGAGTTCTAAGCGGTTTTTCTAGAACGTTGGAGATACATCATGGAGAAGGGGAAAGTTGACTAAGTCATTCCCTGCTCACCATTGGTGTCCTCAGCAAAAAGGGAGCCCCACCATCCCAATAAAATAATCATGAATTGGCATAAGGTGGGTTAATACAGTATTGGAATAATCTCATATTGGTTGTAACTTTTTCCAGGTCCAGCAACTCGTCCTACAGTTGCAATGCCTTGTCTGCTATGTCCGTCTCTCTTGTGCTGCCTCCTCCTCCTTCTGTTTCCATTAGCCTCCGGTTCTGCGTCTAAAGGGGACACAGTGGTCATAACCAGCAGTGGCCCCATTAAGGGCAAGCAGTTCCTGGCTGGCCTTGGATCTGTGACAGCCTATCTAGGCATTCCTTATGCTGAGCCTCCCCTGGGGAAGTTGCGTTTCCAGAAACCTCTTCCACATCAGCCATGGAAGCAAACATTGGAAACCACCAGTTTTGGCAATTCCTGTTCTCAATTTATTTCCCGGGATATCCCTGAAGCAGAGATATGGTTTCCTAAAACACCACTGTCAGAAGATTGCCTTTCCCTCAACATCTGGGTGCCACACCCACAACCTTCTTCATCAGTCCCTGTTTTGGTCTGGATACACGGAGGGGGATATTTAATGGGCACATCTTCTCTGGACATGTTCAATGGGGCATCCTTGTCTGCTGCTGAGAACGTCATTGTGGTCACCATCAATTATCGCTTGGGAGCCCTGGGCTTTCTGTACTTGCCACCAGCTGCTCCAGGGAACCTAGGCTTATGGGACCAACAGCTGGCCCTGAAGTGGGTAAAAGAGAATGCAGCTGCCTTTGGGGGAGATCCTTCTCAGGTGACCATTTTGGGCCACAGTGCTGGAGGATCTTCTGTGAATTTCCATCTTCTTGCACCAAAAAGCCAGGACCTTTTTGCCCAAGCGGTGATCCAGAGTGGAACAGCCAATGCCTTCTGGGCTTGGAGGTCTCCTGAGGAAGCCAAACAAAAATCACTGGAATTTGTTCATCTGCTAGGTTGTTCCAAGGACAATACTATCAGCATAGTGCATTGCCTGCAATCAAAAAATGTTTCTGAACTTATTCGGCATGAAATAGCTCTGTCCTTGAAAGGTGGCTTCCTTTTGAATTTTCCCTTCAGGCCAACCGTAGATGGGGAGTTTTTGCTTGGTGATCCAGAAAAGCTCATGGAGGAGGGGCAATTTCAGGCCAAACCTGTCCTCATAGGTGAAACCTCTGATGAAGCGGCCACATACGTCCACACTACTTTCCCTAACATCACCCACAATCTCATCAATCAGGAGCAGCTTCTGAAAGGGATACAGCTGTTGGTGCCAAATCCAACTGAAGATTTTATTCGGACTATTGCACTGAAGTACAGTGAAGGAAATCAGGGCCCAGCAAAATACCGCTCCGCTATGTCCCACTTCTATACAGATCGGATCATTGCATGCCCAATGATTGAAGCTGCAGGAAATATCAGAAAAAGTGGGAGTCCTGTATATGCCTATTTATTCACACATCGCCCTTCATGGTCAGTTTGGCCTGAATGGATTGGGGCATCTCATGGTGCTGAGGTTCCTTTTGTTTTTGGAACCCTTGAATCAACGCTGCCTGCCAATCAAACATACACAGAGGCTGAAGCCAGACTGAGCCGTAAAATGATGTACTACTGGGCAGAGTTTGCCAGAACTGGGTAAGTGGTTCACTTTATTTCAAAAATTTGTACCAGTATTTTAAATCCAAAGAAAGCCTTTCCATTCAACAAATGCACTTTATATCTAAAGTAAAACAGCCATAAAGTAATGCACACTATTCCTTTGAGTATGGTTACAGGTTGTGTTAATACAAATAGTTCATGATTGACGACCACAGTTGGGACTAGAATTTCTGTTGCTAAGCAAGACTGTTGTTAAGTGAATCATACCCAATTTTAAAATCTTTCTTATCACAGTTATTAAGCAAATAACTGCAATTTTTAAGTACAATATATGATTATGTGAATCCAGTTTCCTCCACTGACTTTGCTTGTTGAAAATCAGCTGGGAAGGTTGCAAATGGTGATCATGTGACCCTGGGACATTGCAGCCATTGGAAATACATGCCAGTTGCCAAGCAGCCAAATTTTGATCACGTGACCGTGAGGATGCTGGAATAGTTGTAAGTGCAGGGACTAGTTGTAAGTCACTTTTTTCAGTTCCATTGTAGCCTTGAATGGACGTTAAGTGAATAGTTGTAAATCAAGGATTACCTGTACTGGAAATAGCCATGAATTTTTAAGGATTCTTAATAATGTCACTTATAGATAATTGTTCTTTTATGAGTTCAGTGGTATCACACATATTCCAGGGTACATTATTTCTCCAAGTGGAATAAAGGAGGCAAAAGGGAGATAAGAAACAGAGTATTACTCTACCATTAAGAGAACGAGCAAAGGCTTGCAAGGGAGTAAGTAGTGAAGGGGAAACTCACAGGATGGTGGCTGGAAGCTGACCTGGGTTTGGATCAGCAAGGAGGAGACACAAGAGATTTCACCAAGCCAAACTCCACCCCTCCCTCAAAGTCCCCTTTGGGAGTTCCCCTTGGTTGTAGTTTCTCAAGTCAAAACCAGTCTCTTTGGAAAAGAGCCACATCAGAATAACAGAGTTGGAAGGGACCTTGGAGGTCTGCTAGACCAACCTCCTGCTCAAGCAGGCAACCCTATTCCACTCTGGACAAGTGGCTGTCCAATCTCTTCTTAAAAACCTCCAGCGATGAAGCACTCATAGCTTCTGAAGGCAAACGATCAATTGTTCTGTGAGGAAATTTCTCCTTATTTCTAGGTTGTTTCTCCCCGTGATTAGTTTCCATCAATGTCCTTTTCTTCCTCCTTAGGAATCCCACTGGGTCAGCAGCCAGCAAGGATGAGTGGCCACTCTATAATGCCACAGAGCAGAATTTCTTCCTTCTTAATACTGAGCCATTCCAGGAAAGGGTGATAGAGCACTGCGATTTTTTAAAGAGCCTTTTTTCAAAGGCTGAAGAAACACGTAAGTTCAACTATTAGTTCTGCCTTTGGAAGGGAGTAGTGGTTGATGAAAAAGATATTTTTAAAAATCATTTATATATCAAATATAGAGATCGCCCATTTCACTCATAGAGCAATCTCTAAAAATTGATTTTATTGCCACTCTTTGCTGAAATATATTCATTTGATTACAATTTTGTAATGCTAGTGATAAATTTTGTAGAGCAAACATATTTCATGACGTCCCAAGAGTTGGGTCTCTAGTAATGTCCTCTAAGTAAGCCTTAGTTGCTCACATAAACATAACAACAATAATAACAACAACAACAATAACGAATCCCAAAACATCTGGATCGCCTCTTGACCACCGTCATTAACAAAATCCCTCTCAGACAAATGCAAAAGGCAGCTTTATTTGGAATAGCTTACATCCTGCAATGATAACTTTAATACCATCAAAAAATATCTACCCATCCCAGCTTTTTTGGAAGGACAGAGTAGGTGGACCAAAAATGTCAAATCCAGTCTAAACATCTGGCTGACCATGTGACAAACAATAATGTTTATATATATATATTTATATATTTATATATATATATATATATATATATATATATATATATATATATATATATATATATATATATATATATATACATATATATATATATATATATATATATATATATATATATATATATATATATATATAAAAATGCCATGAATCATGGAATCCTCAGAATCTTACTTCTAGATTCAGATTCTTTAGTGATAAGATGTACACCTTATCTTGATATTTCATTTTTCTTTGTTCTGCAGAGCAGTCCAAAGGTTTCATTGGACTAGGAAGTAGACATCAGGTAGGAATCCAGTGCTTGGTTGTAGTAATGGCCGGCAATTGGGATCAAGATGGATGATTTCAGAAGGGGACTAGACTTCTTCCTAAATAGTAATTTCACATTGGCATTTCAAACCATTTTTAAGTAGCACTTTTGTGGCTGAGCTTCACTGTGAGAAATGGAAGCTCTCCAAGCTGATGCCAATGGCCTTTGTGGAAGAGGAACCTGGAGAAACTTCTCGATCTCAGCATAAACAGTGTCGGTTGGTGACTCCTAGGGAACGGGCTTTCTCTGTGGGCACACCTACCTTATGGAATTAACTCCCCCTGGGGCTACAGATGGCCCCTGATCTTCGCTCTTTCCGCCTTGACCTCAAAACATGGTTATTTCGCCAGGCCGGACTGGACTGATGGGGTTTTAAGGGGACTTTTAATGGTTTTTAACATTTTAATATTGAATTTTATGTGTTTTATTGCTGTGAGCCGCCCTGAGTCCTTTTCGGAGAGAGGGCAGCATATAAATTTGATAAATAAATAAATAAACAAACAAATAAACTGATACAGACCTTGGGCATAGGGAAGGAAGCAATGAGCCACCAAGAGTAACTTACAGAGAAGATTACACAGTGCTGAGAAAGAGAAAACATCAGAATGAAACTCAACTTGTGGGGGAAATCAGTTTTCATATGAATGAGACTATTTATTTATTTTATTATTTATTATTCGAATTTCTATACCGCCCTTCTCCTTTCAGACTCAGGGCGGTGAACAGCCAAAATAAAAACATTTATACATAAATACGATTAAAAATAGATTTAAAATAATTAAATTTGGCCCATAGTTTAAAATTTATCAATTTAAAATCCATATCAAAATTTAAAACCAACCATAAAATCATAAAATCAAGAGAGACCGGCTAACTGAAAGAGATGAGTTTTTAGGGCCCGACGAAAGGTCCGGAGGTCGGAGATCACTCGTATCTCTGGGGGTAGATTGTTCCAAAGGGTAGGTGCCACCACAGAGAAGGGTCTCCTCCTGGGGGTCGCCAGCCGGCATTGTCTAGCCGACGGCACCCTGAGGAGGCCCTCTGTGTGGGAGCGAACTGGCCGGTGGGAGGCTATTGGTGGCAGAAGGCGGTCCTGTAAGTACCCTGGCCCTAAGCCATGGAGCGCTTTAAAGGTGATCACCAACACCTTGAAGTGCACCCGGAAGTCCACCGGAAGCCAATGCAGCTCGCGCAGGAGAGGAGTCACATGGGAGCGCCCAGTCGCTCCCATAATCCCCCGCGCGGCCGCATTCTGCACCAGTTGGAGCCTCCAGGTGTACCCCAAGGGGAGCCCCATGTAGAGAGCGTTATAATAGTGCAGACGAGAAGTGACGAGTGCTTGAGTGACTGTGCGTAGGGAGTCCCGATCCAGAAAGGGGCGCAACTGGCGTATCAGGCGAACCTGATAAAAAGCCCCCCTGGCCACAGCCGTCATATGCCCTTCTAAGGACAGCCGTGCATCCAGGAGGACGCCCAAGTTGCGGGCCCCTTCCGTGGGGGCCAATGATTCACCCCCAATAACCAGCGATGGCGTCAGCTGGCTATACCGGGACGCCGGCAGCCACAGCCACTCGGTCTTGGAAGGGTTGAGTCGAAGCCTGTTTCTCCCCATCCTATTTAATAGACAAATGGAGACATTGGGAATGTCTCCTTGTAGCCCAGGGATAAATGTTATCAGAACATTCCCATAGGCACCTCTGAATCTCAAGATGCAAATATTTCTTCTAACTAAGTCCATTGTCCTCTCTAGATAACAGAAGGGCAGGAAGTAACTTGAGATCAGTTAGGTTATTAATTACCAATGTGTATGCATGCATAAAATTCCCCCTCCATTTTGAAATGTATAAATATGAGTGAATCTGTCCGGTCTGCCATCGTAATGGCTTCAGCCTACTTTGCTGGCATCTTGCCATAAAATACGGAGACAGGATGACAGAAACCAGAGGTGTCAATCTGGAACAGGCCGGCTGCTCCAACAACATGAGCTTGAGAATGGAATGGAATGTGAACCAAAGAGGCACCAAACCTTAAAGCTGTTAATTCCCCATATTTCCCTAGATTCCCTTATTCTAATCACAAATACTTTTCTTTGTCAACTTCAATATTACAATCCAATATCTTACTAAAAGTCACTTAAATATATAATGTTACAATCATTCATTTCTTTTCCATTGCTTTTTCAAATATATATGTGATCTGTTCTTATTAAACAATAAACCAAATTACTTTGCACAGTACATTTTCTTAAATCTTAAATCCAATTTTCAATTGCTTTATCAAATATATTTATACCTTTTCAACAATATCTTCACTTCTAATTAAGCAGTAAATCTAATAAATTCATAATACGATATAATTTCCAATTTTTTAGTTAAATTCCAAAATTAAAATTAAAAATGTTCCAATTATTACAGTTTCCATAGTTACAGTTAAAGATATTCCAAATATTACAATCTCATATATTAAACTTATTTGTATTTCCAAATCTTTTTTAGTTCATTTATTAATCAAGGTAATTTTCCATTGCTATATACTTAATTTAAACAAAATTAATTTTCAGCTTAATTTATTACAATTAAATACATTCCAAAATCTCAACTGTTGCATTTTCTAAAATTCATTATATCTAAAAATCTTACTTCAATTCATTTTTGATTCTAACTGTATACAGCATATTTCTCTTTTCCCTTTCCATCAATTATTTCTTTTTTCTCCTGTTCTCCCATTTTCTTTTTTTCTTTTCTTCTTTTTCCCCATCTTTTTTTCCATTTTAAAATCCTGAACTCTTCTGTTTTGCCCTGTATTTCCCATTACTCTCCATCCCTTTTTCCTCTTTCTTATTTTCCCACTGTTAATCCCAGTATAATCATTTAAGGTTTTTTTGTTTTTCCTATTCCCCCCTTTTTTCTTTCCTTATCTCTTTCCACCCTTTCTATTTTTATCATTGTTAATCCCAATGTAATCTTTAAAGTTCACCTCTATTGCTAAATTTATCTCTTTTCTCCCAATTCTCCTCTCCTTTTCATTATTAGTACCCACATGATCATTTAATTTTTCATAATTAATATCTTTTTCCTTGTCTTTGTCTTTATCTTCAATCTCATTTTCTTGCTTCTCATTTGTAATTTCTTTATCCACTTGAGTGTGCTCTAACGTGATTTCTGGTTCATCCGGTTTAATTTTTCCATGCAGCATTATAATCATTTCATTTAATTCTGTTTTCAGTGATATATGAATCATTTTAATCATTTCAATAAATTCCTGCGTCATTTTATTATTTCTGGGTTGTTGTTATTCTAATTTTAATTTTTGTTGTAATCCACCTTCTTTGATTATCAAAGTCGAGTAGCTTGCAGACAAACAAACCCTCCTTAAAAGTTCCCACCGCTTTTATCACTACAAAAGTCCTTCTCTTGTCTTCAAAGAAAAAGTTCAATGTTGTAGAGTTCTTTTTCTGCCTATAGATGTCTCTCTCCAATCCATAATTCCAATCAACAGCCTAAAAAAGTATCCATTTTGTTTAAAATCCACGTTACCAATCTTTATCAAATTTTCTCTTCTTTTTTATTTTGTATTTTCCCAAATCAATTTAGAATCCAAATCCAAATCCCAAAATCCATTTTTTTCTTTTTTCTTTTTTAAAGAAAAAATCTTCTATTACAGGGCTTTAATTTTAAGTTTCTCTTTGTTCTTTCTTCAACAATCAAGAGAAATCTTCTTAAATTCTTTCCAATCCTCTTTACACCTATTATGGGGTTTTTTTCTTCTAATTTTTTAATTATCTCCACACACTTTAGTCCAAAAATCAATTTTCTTTTTGGGCTTTGCCACTTTAAACTTTGGCTTTACTCTTCTTCCTTCATTGCCCCCATGCCCATTAGCCACTGTCATTTCGCTGGGGCACCCTTAACAAATTTAAAAATCTTCCTTTTTTGCCTATGAACTGGCAATCACTTACCCGGCTTCAGTACTCTGTTGAAATCACCGCTCCTGCTCAAAACTTGGTCCAGTTGCCCCAGGTTAATGATGGCCGCAATGGCCGCCACCCCCGCTGCTGATTAAAAGAGTTTCCGCTGACATCCGAGGAACTTGCCTGTTCCTCTTGGTCGTGCGAGGTGCCTCTTCTTCTTCTCCATCCCTACAAGACAGATCTGGTCCGACTTCCGGTTTGCTGTTTGTTCCCGCCGGACGCTCCTTCGGGATCGTCGAACCCACTGCCTGTAAGAGCCGCCTTTTTCAGCGGAATGGCAGCTCGAAAAAACTCCATTTCCATTAGGAAACGGAGATAGAGCCGGCTGGGGTGGGTAGAGTCCTCTGCCTAATCCCAAAAGTTTTTTATTTACTTTTGGGAGGGAGCGGAAGAGACTCCCCGTATCCCCAGCCGATGCTCCGGGCTCTGGGAGATCTCTGCTACACGCAGAGCTAGGGGGCAAAAGCAAGCCTGCAAATCTGTTAAATTAATTAAAGAAGACGTGAGCTGGACCTCTGATCCTGAAGCGCAAGTATTCTTCTTATTTTAGAAAAGTTATTGAAGTTGTTTAAGAAGTGAAAGGAAAAAAGATTTTTAAAATGGCGATTGCTGCTGTGACTGCTGCGGCTTGAAGAGAGGCTGAAGGGGAAAGTCCTTCCGTTTTCTATTACAAAGTAGCGGAGTGAATACTTCTGGCTGTAATTGAAGGCAAAACCTCACTCTCACTCTTGTTTTTTTCCTTTTTTTTCCCTGGGGATCTGATATTGATCTTGGTTGGAAAAAAGCTTTTTTTTTTTCTCTTTTCCAGTAAATCTTGTCTGTGTGGAAAAATGGCACTGAGACTTATAAAGTTAGACAAACAGGCAGTGGGGGGGGATTCCCCCATTAACAAATTACATCAACAAGTTCTAACTCTCCAGTCTCAGAAACCTGACTTTAATATAATAGAATTTCTTCTTGAGGAGATTGTAAGAAGGGATGAGATTGTGAATCAGCAACTTGAAAAATTTAAGCTGGAAATTAAAGAAATTGGTGAATTGGTGAAATCTAAGTTTGACTTTTTGGATCGAAAGATTTTAAAAACAGCTAATGGTTTAGCAGACTTTGTGATTCAGTTGGATGCAAATACCAAATTATTAGAGTCTAAAATGAAAGAAACTGAGGAGAATTTGGATGACAAGATCCAAAAAATTAAAAAGGATTTGGCAAATATTCAGGACAATAGTTCAGAAGACAAACCTAAAATGGAGGTTGACCAAAAGATTGGTAATGAAGAAAATGTACAACAGAGGATTGAAAGAGAAGTTTTAATGATTCAATATAATTTTACAGAATATGCAATTAGACTGAGAGGTCTGCAGGAAAATGACAGAGATGATTTAAGGAAGATATCTTCTGAAATTCTGGCTGGGATTTTAAAGGTTCAACCTGATGAAGTGTTTTGCAGGATTGACAGAATTTATAGAATAAACTCCTGGTTGGCAAAACAAAAGCAATTGCCTAGAGATGTGGTGATTTATTTTACTGATAAAGGAATAAGAAATGATATTGTGCAGAACTCTTTTAGTTCTACTTTGCAATTTCGTGGAAGAAAGATTTGGATTTTTAAGGAGCTCCCGCCTAAGATGTTAATGGAGAGGAAGAAATTTGGTTTTCTAGTGTCTGAGTTAAAAAAAAGAAATATCCTATTTAGGTGGGATGTTCCAGTTGGTTTAATATTCAGACACCAAGGAGTAAGATACCAACTGAACACTGTTGAAAAAGCGGAAGAATTTTATCAAAAAATCTTTAAAAAGAATTTAACATCTTTAGGCATAATACAGGACAAACAAAAGGAGTTGGAAACAAAGGGAAAATATCAAATTATAGAGGCTGTGGTAGATAAATTGTCTTCGGGCTCCCTGGATACCCCAGCTGGACTGTCTATAAATATGAGAGCAGTGTCATCTGATTCCAATGTGATGAATTATCAAGTTACAGACAAGTGCGTAAATCAACCAGTTGATATACAAGTGATGGAAAAGAAATACGACATAATAAAACAAAACCAACAAGATCAACTAGCTGATACACAATTTGTAGGAAGGAAACCAGGATGGAAATTCAACCCGCAAAAGAAAAAGAAAAGAAACAGATCTCACAGAAATAGTAGTTTCTAAACTAAGCAACAGCGAAGCCAGGGACTTTAAAAAAATGAACGAATATGTGAAAATAGTGGAGGCGAAGTATTGTTTAATACTATCTTGAGGATAGTGGCAGACCTCTGCAATGCCGTGATTTTGGGATGTGAAAAGAGCCTTACATTGTTGGATTTGAATTATCTATTTTGGATTTCTTTTACCGATAAATATATTATAACTATTTCGAGTTACAAGGCAAGAGAGTCATGCTGGGGCATGCAGAAGATCTGGCTGTTACCCACTAGGATGATGGGAATTAATAATCCTGATGAAAACCACAATTACAACTATATGGAATATAATCATAATGTCACTCGGGTGGTTGTTTTTTACTTTTATATATATATGAGGATATTCATTACTGATGGGGGCAGATGATGACTGAAGATTTTGAACAAACTGTTGCACCAGGATGCTATGTTACCCAATTATGGATGATGGACTCAACAATCCAGTGGAAAGACGTCAAAGAAGATATTATATGGATTATAAATTTAAAGTTATTGTCTTTTTTTCTTTTTATAAAATGGAATGTATACATAGATATATGTATATTTTAGCAGAGTGGGCAGTGGTTCATATTTAGAATTGTAGTGCATGGTAATTTTGCGGGAAACTGGGTTGAAATAGGTTAGTTTACTGATTGATTAGTTTAAGAAAAAGGATTTTTAAGTCATATATTTAGGGGAGTGGAGGAATTGGATAGAATTGAATAAATGTTAAATTTGGATGTGGGGAGAAGGCTGCTTTGAAATGTTATATTAATATATATAAAAGATTAAATGTTATGTTGTTGTAATAATATACTATAAGTTTGGGGGAGGAGAAAAAAGGGCAGATTATTGCGAAAATGGGGGTTATAAGAATATTATGTTAAGGGTCAGTATTTTGAGGAGGGAGTAGGGGAATGGTAAAATATTATGTAATTAGTTATGAATTAGCTTAATGTTGTGAAGAAGTCACAGGGGGGGATGGGTGGTGAGGGGGGGTTAGGGAAGAGGGGGGGAAAAAGGGGGAAAAACTTGTATTTGAAAACTTTTTCAATAAAAAAAAAAAAAGACAGATCTGGTCCAAAGACCCCTTGACAGTGGCTTGTCAGCCCGGGATTTTGCAAGGTTCATCAGAGCCTGCTATTCCCCGACTGTCTCGCCGTGATGCTTCCGGTAGAATCTTCCCTCGATTTTCTGAAGGGAATTTCTCCAGTGCACGCTATTAATAGTAAATACTGCAGTGAGCCTTGATTACTTGCTTTGGGTCCTGCATTCTGATTCCACAAACCCCACCATGTTTAATATAAGGGGAATACAGAGCACCTTAGGTGGCCTATTAAGGTTAAGGTTAAGGCACCAGGCTAGACATCAGGAGACTGTGAGTTCTAATCCTACTTAAGCCATGAAAGTCAGAAAGGTAGAATTAGAACTCACGGTCTGATAACATTTAGTCTGGTGCCTTAATCTCAAAAATCCATCTAAGGTGCTCTATGTTCCCCTTATACTACATAGGCAGATTTTAGACTAGTCACTCTTTCTCAGCCCAACTCACCTCACAGGGTTGTTGTTGTTGTGAAAATAGGAGGAGGAAGGAGTGTGGGGAATGTTCTCCACCTTGGGTTATTTGTAAAAATAATAAAGACGAGATACATATAATAAACAAAGATAAATAAAATTATCTTATTCCACCTTACTACAGAGAAGAGCATCCTGTAATCTCTGCTTTGCCTGTGTCTTGAACTGGCCTACTATGAAGGGCTGCCACTTAGGTTGAACCTCTTTGAAAATAGCATCCATATCTCAAAGGCACCATTTGAAAACCTAGCTACAGTTTTGTTGGCTTCAGAATAATGGTTGTGTGTTTATTTCTCTCAGGAATCAATCAAGACTTATCTTTAAAGCCTGGTGAAATGATGACAAGCTGCACCAGAGAACCTTCCAGAAGTATCCATTGTCTTTTCAGAGACTGACTGGTGGGAACTTGGAAGACAAATAAGGAGACAACTAAAACCCACAACACTTTTGCTGTTAAAATAATAAATTGCCAGATGTAATTTGTTATATTTTGATTTGAGACAGGCTTTTAATTAATCCCGCTCCCTCAAAAAAAACCTCTTAATAAATACTGTTTGAATTCTTAGGATAAAAATCCTTTTATTTTCACAACAACATAAGAACTTGATGCAATGTGGAAAAACAAATAAAGGAAACAGGAATTCTGCCAAATTTTGCTATAACCTAATGACTCACATATCTTTTTCATAGAGCTGAGCTCCTTAAATTTAATAAATGGGCAAGTTTGATATTCTAGGTATTGCAGTCAAAATTATTTTAATATATCCTGATATGGAGAAACCAGTTTAGGCTGGATGCTGTAAAAACATCCATGGTTTGGAAAGGTAGGGTTAGAGCAATGGTTAGCAGAAATTCATAGCATTAAGTGTTAGAAAAGTTTTTAGTTTAGGTTGTAGAGGTCAATAAGATCTTGGAATGTCCCAGCAGCTACAATTAAGCCAGATTTCTTTTATCAAGAAAAACTTTTGTTTATTTAAAATCAATAAACTATTTACATTTTAAATCACAGAACATTGTATCTTGGTCTTTATTTATTTCTGAGGTAAATGTGCCTAGAGCATAATCCTTTCTTCTCTTTTCTCCTGTGTGTCTCCTCTGTGTCTCCCAATGTATGTGTGGGTGAAGGGGGTCATATTTATAGGGTGGCTAAGCCACTCCCCCTTCAGTCCCTTAGACAAGATGGAGGGAAAGTATAAACACAAAACCATCCTTCCAGTATAGACAGTGTGGTTCAGTGGCACTGTTTCAGATAATTATCCGACATTAAGAATTGGGCTTTGCAGAGTTTTCCTGTTAGCAACGATCTACTGAAACTACCTCCATTACCTTCCCATATCTCAAACTCCCAATGTTTCTCTTGAAAGTTTTCAGAGAAGACCCATCTCTACTTTTTGTGCTTTCAATCTGGATTCCATTGATGATACTGTCAAATACAATAAAAGACACACTTTTTAGAATGGCCCAAGGAGCAGGCTGAGCATACTGTTACAAGAGGACAGAAAAGTCACACATAGCAATGTTTAAAAAGACAGAAATGACTACATGAATGATTTTCAGGTGGATTGGATAAGAAGGATAGGCCTAAAAAATAAAAATCTGCCTTTTAACAAAATGAACGAATAAAAAAGATGGTGGCCATAATAGTGTAACACACATAACAAACTGATCTTTGATCATACTTAGGTGACTACCATCTTGATTTTTAAAAAAAAATTAATTCCCTGCAGACACCCTTGTTTAAAGTGAAGAAAGACAAAGTGGGCTCACTGGAAGATGTAAGGGGAAATGAAGCATGAAGACCTTTTGAAGCGTGAGGGAAAAGACAGAATGAAACCAAGGTTCATATTAAGAGAATGTTTTATGATGGCTGCAAATGTTTCTGAAGTAATACAAGGAATAATCTAAGGAATAGTCTCTCCTCATAGTCTCACTTTTATCTACACAGCAATTGTCATCCCTTATTCACAGAGATGTCTTTGGTCAGCTACCATTGACAGAGTTTCAGGAGGATATGAAAGAAGAGTTATATGCCCATAAAAAGAGGGTGGGTGTGAGATCTTTAAGCAGGTTAGACCAAAATTTTAATTTTGGCAAATTTAGATGTTTGGACTTCAACTCCCAGAATTCCCTGCATATTGGTTGGGGAATTCTGGGAGTTGACATCTAGACATCTTAAAATTGCCAAGATTGAGAAACCCAGGGTTAGACCAAGATAGTACAATATTTGTACTGGAGATTGAAAAGAAGGTCCAGGTCTGTAGGCTGTGTTATGTTACGTTACGTTATGTTGTGTTTTGCCATGCTATGCTGTATTAGTCTGTAGACTATACTCCACTCCACTCCATACCACCCACCACACCACATACCACACTGCATCCCACACCCCTCACCACACCCCACCACACACACCCTACACACACACACCCCTCACCACACACCACCTACCACACTCACACCTCACCACACTCACACCTCACACCATACATACTATGCGACGCCACGCCACGCCACACCACACCATGCACACACACACACACCCCATATGCCACACATTTCACACACCACACCCACATCTCACCATACATAGGGTAGATTGAACGCGACCACATGTTTGTTGGACCCGTGTCCCTCCTGGTTAGTGCTGGCTTCCCGGGAGGTGACGCGAGGCTGGCTCCAGGGGATTATAAATGCTTCGTTGGGTGAGGGTGTCTTTCCCGCCGCCTTGAAAGAGGCGGTGGTGAGGCCTCTCCTCAAGAAGCCTTCCCTGGACCCGGCAGTATTGGCTAATTATCGTCCAGTCTCCAACCTTTGCTTCGTTGCGAAGGTTGTTGAGAGTGTGGTTGCGCGACAGCTACCCCAGTACCTGGATGAAGCGTCGTATCTAGATCCATTCCAGTCGGGCTTCAGGCCTGGGTACAGCACGGAAACGGCATTGGTCGCGTTGGTTGATGATCTCTGGAGGGCTCGGGACAGGGGTTGTTCCTCTGTCCTGGTCCTGTTAGACCTCTCAGCGGCTTTTGATACCATCGACCATGGTATCATGCTGCACCGTCTGGAAGGGTTGGGGGTGGGAGGCACCGTTTTACGGTGGTTCTCCTCCTTTCTCTCTGACCGGTCGCAGTCTGTGTTGACAGGGGGGCAGAGATCGACCCCGAGGCCCCTTATATGTGGGGTGCCGCAGGGATCAGTTCTCTTGCCCCTTCTGTTCAACATTTATGTAAAGCCGCTGGGCGAGATCATCCGTGGTTTCGGGGTGAAGTACCATCTGTACGCTGATGACACCCAGCTGTACATCTCCACCCCGGACCACCCCAACGATGCCCTTGAAGTGATGTCCCAGTGCCTGGAGGCCGTGCGGATCTGGATGGGGAGAAACGGGCTCAGGCTCAACCCATCCAAGACCGAGTGGCTGTGGTTTCCGACGTCCCGATATAGTCAGCTGGCGCCATCACTGGCTATTGGGGGCGAATCATTGGCCCCCACGGAAAGGGCTCGTAACTTGGGCGTCCTCCTGGACTCACGGCTGTCTTTAGAAGAGCACTTGACGGCCGTGACCGGGAGGATTTTTCATCAGGTTCGCCTGATTCGCCAGTTGCGTCCCTTTCTAGATCGGGACTCGTTACGCACAGTCACTCATGCCCTCGTCACCTCTCGTCTGGACTATTGTAATGCTCTCTACATGGGGCTCCCCTTGAGGTGCACCCGGAGGCTCCAACTGGCGCAGAGTGCGGCCGCGCGGGTGGTTATGGGAGCAACATGGAGCTCCCATGTAACACCTCTCCTGCGCGAGCTGCACTGGCTCCCGGTGGTCTTCCGGGTGCGCTTCAAGGTTCTGGTTACCACCTTTAAAGCGCTCCATGGCTTGGGACCTGGTTACTTACGGGACCGCCTACTACCATCAACAGCCTCCCACCGACCAGTACGCTCCCACAGAGAGGGGCTCCTCCAGGTGCCGTCGGCCAAACAATGTCGGCTGTTGGCCCCTAGGGGGAGAGCCTTCTCTGTGGGGGCACCGACGATCTGGAATGAGCTCCCCCCAGAGATACGGAGGATTCCGGATCTGCGCACCTTCCGCCGCGAGTTGAAGACGCTTTTATTTCATCAAGCTGGCCTCGCCTAAATTTTCTCCCTTTTAAGTGTAAATTCTAAATTTTTAATGGATTTTAAAATATGGGTATTTTAAATTGGGTATTAATTCAGCCAAATTTATTTAATTCATTTTATTCGATTTTAAATTTTGTATATCTATGTGTTTTATTTCATGGCTGTGCACCGCCCTGAGTCCTTCGGGAGTAGGGCGGTATAGAAATTCAATAAATAAATAAATAAATAAATAAATAAATAAATAAATAAATAAATAAATAAATAAATAAATACACCAGACCAGACCACGCACTACACCACATCATAAGCAAATTCCCCACAGAAAGGTCTGAACAAAGGCAGGATTATCGCTCAGCCACAACAGGAATTGCCTAACAAGCCCCTTCATTGTATCAACCAAACTTCAACCAAGCTTAGCTCAGACAAACTCCTAGGATTTGTACATGGCTCCATGGGAGTCTAACAACAGCCAGTAGAATATATGTTCTTGCACAGGAACAGGAAGTTCAAGTGTAAAGCCCAAGAGAAGGTATAAATACCCCCCACTCTTAATCAACTCCATATGTTCAGCTGCACCAAAACCACAAACATGTGTTTCTGCTTCACCATTAAACCACCTTTCCAATTAGCTTCCATGTTTCCAGTGTCTTCCTCCCGGCTTGGAACTGAACCACATGGATATGTCTTCCAACATTATCCTTGGGTAGTTTTGTAGATCGTCCGCTGAGATATCGTTGTTATCGTTGGATCATTACTGGGGCTGGATGTGTTGTGATCAGCCTATTAGTAGGAGCTGTGATAGCATTGCGTATCTGTGGTGAGTCGTTATAAATTCAACACCTTCTGCCCTGAACCTCTGAATATTTTGAAATTTATATAAAGTAAGGAAGATTACTTTGATGAGGTTATGCAGAAGCTATTGTCTACGCAAAAAAAGGACTGAAATAGTTTTAAAGTCAGCAACATGCAGATAATGTAAGAACAGGAAGATAACATTTGGAAGGAATTCAGACAGTTCCCTACTTCACTGAACTATGAGGAGGAGGAGGAGGAGGAGGAGGAGGAGGAGGAGGAGGTGGTGGTTCAGCCAAATCAGATTTGCAAGATTCTGTTATTATAGCTGATCTCAATCAAAATAATTTTAGCTTTCCCATGGTCTCATTCAACCAATGGGGCTTACAAAATACCAGGATTTAATGCCATAGAACAGGGGTCCCCAACCTTTTGGACCTCAAGGACCACCAAGTTCATAATTTTAAATCCAGCAGACCACTAATACTAATCCAGCGCACTGCTTACTGAAGCGCCTGGACTCCCAGGGATGGGATGGGGTCCTTCAGACACTCCACCTCTCTCTCTCTCTCTCTCTCTCTCTCTCCCTCCCTCCCTCCCTCCCCTCTCTTTCTCTCTCTCTCCACTCTTTCTCTCTCATTCTCTCTTTCTCCCTCTCTCTTCCCCCCTCTCATTCTCTCTCTCTTCCACTCATTCTCTTTCATTCTCTCACTGATTCTCTCTCTCTGTCTGTCTGTCATTCTCTCTCTTTCATTCTGTCTCTCTCTCATTCTCTGTCTCCCTCATTCTCCCTCATTCTCTTTCTGTATCTCATTCTCTTTCATTCTGTCTGTTTCTCTCTGCCTCTCTCTCTCATTCTCTGCCTCTCTCTCATACTCTCTCTCTCTCTCTCTTTCCCCTCTCTCTTTCTGTCTCTCTCCTCTCTCTTTCTCTCTCTCCCACTTTCTCTCTCATTCTCTCTCCCCCTCTCTCCCACTCAATCTCTCTCTGATTCCCTCTGTCTCTTTCTTTCTCTCTCTCATTCTCTCTCTCTTTCATTCTGTCTCTTTCTCTCTTTCATTCTCTGTCTCTTTCTCTCTTTTTCTTTTATTCTCTCTCTCTCTTTGTCT